TGAAATACTCCACATTGTACGACAGGTGGGGCACCGTCTGTATTATTCTGTAAACGACGTCTTTGTACTCTTTTGGACTTGATCAAACCTAACATTCGTAATCGTGTTGAAGAAAAACAATATACAGTGCGGACAAAGAGTAAGAAAACTCTGCGATCATTTAGCGTTGGTGAATCAGTCCTCGTTAGAGATTACCGTGGAAACTCGAAATGGAAACGTGGTGAAATAACAGAAACAATAGGGCCACTGACCTATCTTGTCAGTGTCGCTCCCAATGTTAGTTGGAAGAGGTATATCGACCAGATTATTAAATCTGACTTGAAGATCAAGCAAGTACATAGATATGGAGAGCAACTGGTTGAATCTGAAGATGATCATTTTAAACATTACGAGCCTGCGAGTTTGGAACCGGATGCAAAAGACAGTGCAGTATCCAAAAGTCCAGTGCCGTCTCAAAACATCGAATCACCTCCACCGAACTCTCCCATCGGTCGGACACCGGTAACTGACAAATCACAGAATCAGAACCAAAGTCGACTACAGATATTGAGCGACGTTACCCACTTCGGCGGAGAAGGGGACCAGATAGATTTCAATTTTGAGTTGTTTTAAATGTAAAACTCTGGTTAATACATCGTTAGTATATGTCTGTCAGCGTTATATCTTGCAACTAACAATTCCTATTTTTAGGAGGGAGTTGATGTGGTTTATTTATTACGTTATAAATCACATGACTATCACTGTTAAAAAATTTCATAGCTTTAACAAGGAAATGGCAGTTAAAATACATTTCACTTTCCTGTTTTTGTGACGTCGTAAAATATACTGGGAATTCATGGAAGAACGATGAGATTTTTCTGTGCGTCATCTTTTCTGCTTTTCTATTGACTACTGTATTCTCACTTTTCTGAACAAACCAATCACAGACGCCCATTCTCTCGCGCCAAAACGTATGCGGCAAGCGATTAAGCGACTGACTGTCACGAACCGCAATCCGCCATTGACCAAGAAGGCGAGTTCTTCCGTTTTAATGAGGAAGTTGATCAATGTAGGAGGTTTGAGTTATACTGATGGGTAGGCGATACCAGTATATTACCGAACTATGTGATAGCTATATAATGTCAGAAAGTTAAGATGACTTATAGGCCTATATGTAAACGCTCCAAAAATGAATTTAAATTGTTCATTAACAAGTTGTCAGAAATCTTTTCAAACTTCTAGCATGATTGTCAAGCATGTCAATTAGAGTAGACTCTAAGAAATCAGTAAAAGATGCTGTTATTGCGGGAGATACCATATGATAAAAGCATCACACGGAACACAGGCGTGATATCGATAATGTAACAACTTGCCGATTGCAGACATTCAGACAGGGTGGCCCTTCTTATTTGAGAGTGGATTTCTAGACGAACATTTCACCTACAAGGCAGGGCAGAATGAGTTGCTCAATAACATCGACGAAAAATCGATCAATGTCTGCAGATAAGTGTTACCAATAATGCATGTCTACGTAGTGGGTTACCGAGAGAAGTGCTTTTACCATATGTGGTCATAGTACAGTAGTAAACAAAAATCAAGTGAGACCCCACAAAGCATATAACTTCGATATTCGGTTTCCTAAATCTCTATATTACCAATATTAACTTTGCCAATTGTGCTAGCATCGGCCAAATTTGAGCAATGATGAATAAGACCTGTTAAATATATCTTTCACGTGCTCGTTCGCAAGTAGAATTATGATTTCTCATGTTATACACTCGAGACTCATTTCTTGCTGTTCACACTGTGGTTTTCCTGTTCTTGAGCAAAACGATCCACCATCTTATCTTGATGTTTGTCAATAGCACTGCGTTGTAAGTCTCTCCAAATATGTAGGCTTTGGGTTTGAGCCAAGTACACTTTCCTTTTTACAAGCGGTTCTCTGACATTCTAATATTCTTACTATGTGTCTATTGAGAGGATAATATTGGCAACAGTGGAGGATTTTTTAATGGAATAACGTATGTATTCATGGCATATTTTGTCTTTGGTGTACCCAAAGAAGACTGTTGCTATTTTTGAGTTTATTCCCCTATGTAACCTTTCTGGTTGGAGAATTTTGTATACCCCTCCTAAAAAATGTCATAACTTTTCGTTAAAACGTGCGAGTACCTTCAGTTTAATTTCATCGGAAAGCGGTATTTCGCCGCTTTATGCCAGTTGTGTCTCGTGATGCGTGTGATATTCGCTTAACCGTGTGCGTTGTAAATGAGAGAAATGTTTTTCCCTAAAATGGGGGATTTCCCTAAAATCGTTTTTTTTTTTTGGAGAAAATTTATGGAAACTTTCATTGTAATAGTCTGGTGCAATTCCTGTCTAGGGTTTTGATATTTCATAGTTATATTCCTTGTATTCTATGTAAGACATCTTAAACCTGTTCTGTGCGAATCGGTGCATTAGCGCAATTTCAGACGCTGTGTGTAAACCATGAGGTCTGGAATGTTTGTTATGGTATTGTTTGGAAGAATAGCTCATTTCCTACCCAGCAATATAAGAATGAACGTTATATGACATTTGGAAGTAATAAAATATCGCTTACATTTCACGAGTGTACTTCCCGCTGCGATAGAAAAACGTCGCACAGCAAGAAAATAATTCAATAAACCTTGGCGTTGCGCGCTAGTATGATAAGGTCTTATTTTGAAGGTCCTTTTATATGCTACATAACATAGGAGAGTGGACATCTCACAACGTCAGGAAGTTATAAAAATATCGAGTCGTTTGATCGCAGCTGCCTCACCGAAAAAAAGTTAGTTCACATAGGCGTTTTATCTCGCAAATTCTCCTTGTCTCACGATTATAAGCTTTTGGGATTCATAATAAATGTTTTATTATGACTCACAAAAGCTTTCAACGCGATAAAGCACAAACAAACAACCGATCGATCTATCAAGCTTAGCCTGGCCTGATTCGATGTGGTGACTTCTCAAACGGAAAATTTCCAAAACGCTTGAACGACACGCGCTAACGAAAAGCGTTTAGTATCATATGAAAGAGAAAATCAATGTGCAGTCAACTGTATAGTCACATTTGCGCTTTTCAATAGCTATACACGTCCAACAGATGATAGAATGAGAGAGTGTAAATATTTTTGTTATTTTTTGACGTTACGAGAGACCTCTTGAAAGAGGTGTTTTAGTTTACGGTCCTCCAGTGACATCTAGCGTATAGTACTCTAAAAGACCTTTCCAATGGTATATAATTATTGTATATTGGGTAAATTTTGGGGGTCGTTTGACATGAATAAAAATTGGTATACAAAATTGGGCTCGATAAAGAGTGTCGAACAGGTTTTAACAAAACCCAAAATCGATCAAACAAGTTGTATTTTTCTAGATTTTGAACTATAGTCCAAGTAGATTTCACAAGTAAGTTCTCATATGCAGTCACCCATCCTTCGCTCATAGTACTGTCATTGGTTAAGGACGTTAACGTATTCAATATGCATATTATATTTGTGAACGTCCATTATTAATGTCGGTACAATGAGCGAGAGATGGGTGACTATGTATATTAGTACCTAAATCGACTTGTTGGAAATCTTTTTTTGATTAATTTTCAGTCTTTTTTTTTGCCAAAAAGTTATTCAACAAATTTTGGTATTAAATTATTCAAGATATTTTACTTAGAATGCAAGGAATACGGCTCTGGAGTATCAAAACACTAGAAAATCGCTCCAGACTATATCAAAATGAAAATTTTTGGCTGTTTTTGTTAAAATTTCCCACGAAAACCTGATTTTGGGTAATCCAATAATTTTCAAAATCAAACTTGAATAATATAATGTACTGTTCTTCAGATTTGGACCGCAACCAATTAGAAGCCGAGAACAATATATTTTTGGGGGATGGGGTCAAATATTAGGATTTCTAGCTTGAGTTCATGGTCGTATTTGGAAATTGTCTTAAGTCTTCCGCATGCTGAGAAATTTGTTATTTTTGATGACATATATAGTGATGGAAAATAGGATTAAAAATCACCTAAAATTATTTTGAAGGTTTTGGGGTCGTTACCACACCCCCTGTCTTGCTGTCTGTGCCTGAGATTTTTGGGTGATTCGTTTTTGAGAATAAACTTCTCTAAGTTTGTTTTAGTTGATCTGTCACAAGATCGGGAGTTACTTAGAAAATACACGAAATTCCAAGTTTGAATTGCTGCCACGGAATTCCCTGTAACTGCAATTACAGGGAAATTCTATCACGCATTTTACACGAATATCCATGTCAAGTATACATGCAAGTCGTGTACTTTCTACAGGAAAAAGCAGGTCGGTTTCACTTGGAATTAAGGTGAAATCAACTCGGAAAGTTAGATAATTCTTACTGAGAAATCTCTGCAATTTGGGCTGTGAAAACGGGATTGTCCTGTAATTTTTACGAGGCAAATTTGGTAATTTTAGGCGGAAAATACCGTAAAATTACTGCCATGGAATTCCATGTAAAATTTTTTTAACAGTGTACTCATGCGATTTACTTAACACGTTTTGTCCTTGGTCGGAGTTTCCGGCCAGTCGATTGTTTGAGTTGGTCAATAAAGGCTGTCGCTGCAACGTCTATACTTGTGTATTTCTTGCAAACAAAAGGGGCTTAAGAACACAACAGATAGTTCCATCATTTCTAGGTTTTGAGTTCAATTAACCATGAAATGCCAGTTACTTTTCGGTGTTATTTTTGTAAATATAAACCAAGCATTATAACATTGCATTACTGAATATTTATATGAGCCTTGTTCGGAGTGATGGTAATGAAACTATACAAACTGAATAAACGATATGACCCGAATAATTTCTTATACTTCATTATTAACTCAATGCAGTTTGATTTTTGTCACTCAATATAAATAAATTACATATTAGCATAGTCACACTAGCTCCAATACCATCAGTTATATGTGGTCCTAGCTTGATACGTTACACTAATCTCTGAATAACCAATGTTTCATTTTAAAATATTTTACCTTTGCATCCCGAACATTTTCCTTGAATGCTTTCATTGCTTCCGCTGTCAGATTGCATCCAGCATTCCAACCTTCTCTACTTCACATTGTGACACAATAATACCTGTGACTCCCATCCCGTCAACACCAAGATCTCTATTGCCGCTGACATCGAGTTCCTTGAACTGAATGAATAATAACATTGATGAATATAATAGGCATGAGATATATCCATGTGCCACACTTAGGCCATAGTAAGAGTAAAATACCCTGAATAATCATTGAGTTCAGTGATCGCAGTGGTGTAGTGGTTAACTCGGTAGTATTAACTTTATTAAAATCATCTCGGGTTCAAACCCCTTACATGCCACGTCATTCAGGGAGTGAGAAGTTTCACAGACTCTACACAAACTTGAATTTGATAGTTTCCAACATATTAGAGATCGCTTGCCTGGCGACTTGTTCGGTGCCAATGTGTGAGACACTCATGAAATTTGCGTGCGATATGCTTGGCTCATAGATAAGAATCATTGATATTAAATCGGAAAGCGTTGAGAGTATGGTGTATTTATTACGTCATTAATCGCATGACTACTCATACGATTTAGTTAACACGTTTTGTCCTTGGTCGGAGTTTCCCGCCAGTCGATGGTTTTAGTTGGTCAATAAAGGATCGTGCTGCAACGCCTATACTTGAGTATTTCTTGCAAACAAAAGGGGCTTAAGAACTCAACAAACTGGCGACGAGAATGGGATACACACATGTGGATGAATCGTAAATTTACAGCGATTGCAAAGACGTTGGTGAGACACTGTTATTGTTTATATGCGCAAAGACGTTGGTGAGACACTGTTATTGTTTATATGTGGGACCGCGTAACAAATTCCTGTAAATCAAAGAAATGGCTAAGAATATGATCAATATGATGGGAGTGATTGGCCGCTTTATTGTGAGCAATTAGAACAGTATTTATTGCAAATGATATTGCCGATGAGAAAAAGGTACCAACGTTAATTGCAAACTTGCCTACTAAAACCTACCAAATACTACACAATCTTTTGGCACCCGACTTATCTAGTTCCAAAACATATGATGTTATAAAGAAAACCTTGCAAGATCATTAAAAACCGAAACGTTCCGTTTTTGTGGAAAGGTTCACATTTCACAGATAAGATCAAAAGTTTTCTGGAGGGGTTCGTGAATATGCAGCAGAGCTAAGAAAATTGTCTGAGTGGTGTAAATTCGGTCCATTGAGGGATGATTTCATTTGCGATCGCTTAATTTTTGGTATACTCGATGAGGCTACTAGAAAAACGTTAATGGCAAAAGATGAGGAAAAATTTGATTTTCAAAGGGCATTTCAAATTGCAACGTCAATGGAATTGGCAAACAGGGATGTGGTCGAAATATCAAGTGGCAGTGTTATGCCAATGGTGAAGGAGCAGTATTTTTCTAGAAAGCAATGGTTTAATACCTCAAAAAGTACACTCTAAAAAAACTCGAGTCAATCGCGTGACTAATTCGGAAGAGTTAGGAACAAAATGACTCAATCGTGACTCGAGCGTCATTTCTCTCGCACTCTCACTCGTTTTTGAGTCAAATATTCTCTCGTTTGACGACCGCCTTCTTTCTCTCGCCGCTAATTTCTCTGTTTATTTTTTAAAGTTGGAACCGGTGAAGCGTGGAATTGGGCGGGGAAATTGTTTTCGAAGTCGTCATTTTCCTTCTCGCGTTGTCGACGGCGGTGGTTTCGGCCGAAGGTGATCATGCAGCATGGCCACTCACAGCTTGCGTGGCCTATCAGTTACGGTTAAAGATATTATGCTGGGATTTTTATTTTGCGTGAGAGGCCAATAGGACAGTTGGATGGGGTAGGCTAGGTCGTTGTTTTTTACAGTTGGATTACAGAGTGAATTGCTGTTATGAAAGAATGGAATTTAGCTTTCACCTGCTACATTCTGACAGTGCTAACAGTTTCGGAGCGATTGTCCGTTGTCGGTAAGTGATTGCTAGCAGTGGATTCAAATAATATTATCGAAATGAGCATGAACTGCAGTATAACACAACTGGCTACTGAGCCAAGTTAGGTCTGCCGGCCTAAGCTACCGGTAGGCCTACTGTCTGACTGTTAAGTTAACTTTATGTCTGAAGTAGGCTACATGCTGTTATCTCAAGTTACAGACACACAGGCCTACAACCTGATGACTGCAGTCTACTGGGTCTATAAAACAGTACAACTAGCCTATGTCAGTCTGCCATCTATTTCTTTCTTAAACAGTTACCGATAACTCATTGCAGTGTTAAATTGGTACTTTTATCACACTGCTTGCACAGCTATAGGCCTGGTATATACCGGTATACTGGTATTTGTTTTAGGCCCTTTTGAGCCTCATAATGAATTTTTATGTGTGTCCAATGGAAGGTTGTGAATGTAAGATGAGGGGGACAAATGAACTATCACTTCATTTACGTCACCAACATGATCTGTCAAAGAAGAAATATATAAATATTACTTGTTCTCAAAATCAATGTTGCACAACCTTTACTCGACTTGACAATTTTTTACGGCATGTGAAAAAATTCCACCAACTAGTATTAGAATCTCGACGTGTGTCGAGGAATTTCCAAAGCTGAAGTTGAAGTTAGAGGGAACAACCGGATATGTACGTAATTTCATTTTGAGATAATTTCGCTTTCCCTACAAGGCATTATTCAATCTCATGAATCTTGTACACAATATTTCGTCATTAAGGCTGTATTCCTCTCTTCTGAAGTTGCCAAAATGGGTGTTAAATATGATTCTGTGTTTACTGACTTCAAGTCTGCTCTCTGTCAGCTTTGTCATTAGGGCTCTTTTGTTGTTATTGTTAAATTGCTAAAAATGTTTTTAGGGCCATTATTATGATCCTCTTCGTGGTTCCGGCTTTATAGAAAACAAGCTCAAAACTTTACGAAAACAAATGGGGTGGCAATAGAAGATAAGATGTATAAAAAACGAAAAAGAGAAGCCACTCAACATATGCAAGTAGTTCCAGTTTGGGAGTACGAAGATGCTGACACCAGTGGGAGTACTGTTGAACTGGATGCCTCACTTCTGAAGACGATAGCCCTATACTGAAAAGGTGGGAAATTTCTATTTTTTATATGTGGTTATTTTTATTTCTCCGCAGCTAGTATTTTATGGAATATTTTATATGATATTGCTTTTCTGATTAAATGGCTGAAAGAAACCACACCATAACAAGGACAATAAGGCAGAAATATATAACATAATGAAGGAAGTCATGACTTATGTAGGCTTGAAATACAGCTGAAGCCTATGACCCTTAACGACATTTTAGAAAAGTACCAAGTGTCTGTGATGCTTTATGAGGGTGGATTGGTAAGTTAGCAATAAATTTAGATTTAAATACATAAGCTGTTTATTATTGTATTCATCACATCAAGATATTTTTAGGAAGTACGGATATTGAAAGCATCTTTTTTTTCACATGTGCTTCTTGTGAACTCAGATTGACTGTGAAATTGAGATGAATTGCACGAAGTGTAAGAAGTTTATGGAAATTTTTCCACCACTCATTAAAAAAATTCTTAAAATGGATCAGGATTGTGTTCAGTGTGATGATGGTATATGCTTCATGCTTTATATTACTGATATTCTATGTATAAATACTGGTTGACTTAGAACTATCTCTGCCACATTGTCAACTGGGCGGCAGTGAAATAGCTTTATTATATCTATGTATTTTGTGTGAGAGCATATTTCGAGTACTTGACACATTTTAGATGGACTAAAGAGTCTTCTAGTTCTATCGAGGATTTTGCCACCTCTCAACACAAAGGGGAAGAAAGGACAAGAGCAGTGGGCATTATTTAAGTTTCAAGGGGTGCGTACTCTGTTTCCTAACTTGTTTGCAAAATACCATAGCAGATGCAACGTGACATGTTTCTGAATGAGTTTTCAAAGTGATGACATCCTTTGGAAACTTATTCATTCTCTTTTATTCAGGCCGGCTGCAACGTTGGATATTATGCTGAAACCAAGCCTCCATCATTGAGACAGCCATTTTTATTGGTCATTGGTCCGAAATCTGATCCTGAGGAATTCTTCTTAATTCTTGACAAGAAAGCGGGTGCCAGTTGGAAATTCATCATTGTTGGCTTTTTATAGACTGTTCGCTTCGTTTGGATATTTGGAATTGAGTACTATGAAAAACTGGCAACTTTCTTCAATTTTTTCGAAGCTATTCTTTTCGGCATGGCTCCCCAAACCTTCAGTGGCCTCATTGTTGGCTGCATTGGACTTTGTGTAAAAAAAAAATGATCCTACATAGACGGCTCAAAATAAAAATGTGCTTATGCCGACCTTCGTAATTTTTAAGTGTCCACTTTGTTTATTTTGTTTTTATACTGATTTGGCCCTATGATAAACCATCATGTCAGAGTACGACTTGATGGTTTATACACTTTATAAAAAATCGATATGTATACACGAATTATGCAGTGTCTCTTTTTAGCGTTCAAAAATGCAGATTTTATAGCCCGATGTTCATCTCAAAATGAGATTTTTTTTTGGAACTTTCAAAAGCGATTGTCTCATATCGCCAAAATTTGACATAGGCCACTACAGTTTTGAGTCGTCGATGTGAGCAAATACTGGGGTCATAATTTTCAATATGATTTCTTTCTGTGGAATTTATTTCATTTTCTTTTGTTCATTGGTGATTGTGGTTTAGTCTGCATCTTCGGTGATTGTTTATTGTGTTGCTGTTTATACCCTTATATAGCAACACAATTAGCGGTCACCGAAAATGCAGATGCGCTCACGCTTGAGTGTTTTTGAAGTTCTTTTCCAAGAAAAATTTGGTATATTTAATTTCTGCTTTTTTGGAACTTAGGAACTTAGGAAAGTTGAAGTGGGACTGGGGGAATTGGAGAGGAAACCAATAACTCACTTTTTGGTGACTCTATCGAGTTGGAAACTTGACTCAAAAAAGAGTTATCGCAATTGATCTTGACGACTCTATCAAGGGATAAATTTGACTCAAAGAGTAGTCATCGCACATGACTCTTGACGACTACATCAAGGTATAAATTTGACTCAAAGAAGAGTTAATGTGCGTGACTCAAGTAAAGAGTCAAATATTTCTTGACTCATTGAAAGAGTAGGAGGCTCGTTGAGTC